TTTTCGAAAATGATTTTGAAAATTTTATACTGTTTTTTTTTGGAAAATTCGAAATTTCTGTAAAATCAAAGTGGGGTGTTACAGGCGGCCTCGGCGGTCGGGGCGGCTATGCGGTTTCGGCAGGACTGGGCGGCGGAGGCAGGTTCTCGGCACGGTCTCGACGGCTTCCACAAATTTTATTTTATTTTTATTATTAAACAACAAAAAGACATGGTTTTGTTTAAATGTAAAAAAATAAAAAATAAGAAAAACGGGCTTAGTTAATGACTTAATGGGCCAATTAAATCAGACATAACGTACATAGTAAAAATTCGTAATAAGTAGAAGAGTGAAACCAGAAATCCTCGTCGACCATACTCTCGTCTCCCGTTCATCGGCCACCACTTTCCATCCGCTTGCGCCGGACCACCTATCTCCGTCGAAGTCTGCCTCTCTCGTCTGCTAGTCGGCAGTCCGCAGTAAGCACCCTCTCCCTCAGGTACTATTTTAGATGTAAGTTTTTATCTTTGAAAAGTGAAAGGAGGCCTTCAAGCTGTTGAGGAATTGCTATTTCTGGTCGAATCATCAGGGCTAATATCTCGGCGGTATTATCATGGAAGAAGAAGTCGTTCATAAAATAACATCATTCCGTCTATCCTCGAGAGAAGCTAATCTCATTCGTATCGATTTTTTAGACACTCACAACAGTGCTGAAGTTTGCAAGCGTAGTCTATTTGGGAAAATTCACGGCCAAAAGAATGCTCAGCTCCCGGGGATCCGAAGGGCTATAGGGATTGTCTGGCAACTCAGGTCTCAAGTCACAATCAGAGAAATCAGCACAAGTTACTTTTAATTTGTGTTTGACAACATGGTGGACAAAGTTAAAGTAAGCAAGGGCACAGGTTGGACATTTGAAAACCAGTTCTTGATTCTTAAAGACTGGCAAGAAGATCTTCATACTGATCACCCAATCTTCATGGAGCTTGCCTTATGGGTCCAAGTGTGGAATCTGCCTCTTGACTGGTGTTCAACAAAGGTGGGGTCTAAAGTAGGCAGTGTCTTCAACCAAGTGAAGAATGTCTCGATTCCGCAAAGTGGTTGGCTTGCAGGTAAATGCATCAGACTGCTAGTTACTATAGACTTGGATCAGCCATTATTGAGGTGTGCTTCATTGATGCTCCAAAACAGAAAAATACTGGTGGATTTCAAATATGAAAAACTAGTCAGCTTGTGCTTCTATTGTGGCTTTCTATGCCACCAGGATAGGAATTGTGTGGTGAGATCAGAGGACATTAAACAGGGTACAGTGAAAGAAGGTTTATTTGGGGAATGGCTCAGAGCTCAAGACTACCCCCACCTTCATCATTCTTCTTCTCGCAATGATAACTCTGAATCTCCTAAACCCAGTAATAGTTCCCCTTCTAAACCCTCATCACCTGATAAAGCCTCATCCCTCATATTTGAATCAGAGAATCCTCCCTTTCATTCTCCTCCTCTACCTAAATCTCACATCTACCCTCCTGTTATACCCCCTTCTATCACTGAACCTTCATCTTCTCCTAATAACTTGAATTCTGATCATCTTATGGTAGTTGAATCACTCTGCTCCTCAGATAATTCATCCCCACCCATTCCTCCTCCTTCTGATTTTACTCCTATCCCTCCCACCTCCGATTTAATCTCTATCCCTCCCCTCTCCCCCCCTCCCCTCCCCCCTTCTGCCAAAACCAGAAAATAGAAAAGAAAATCTAACCCAAAACCCTCTAATAAAGCTCTTACCATCTCAGCTCCATCCCCTATTGTCTTAAGGGGTAAGAGAAAACTTTCTATTTGCCCCTCTCCTGACTTGAACCCTTCAACTCAATCTGATTCTCTTCTTCCATATACCAATACCCCAAAAAGCAAAAACTTTCTCTGACAGTGGTGAGGGAGGCCAGCCCAGAATGGCCCCACCCCCATCAATGAGCTACATATTCTGGAACTATAGAGGGTTGGGTGGCCCCTCTACAGTATCCCAACTCAAGGAGTGTATGAGACTCCACACCCCAATTTTCATTTTCCTTTCAGAAACCAAAAAAAAAAAGAATAATTTTGTTAAAACTGTCTGCAGAAATCTAGGAGTAAGGGACAACTGGTCCTCTTTTGAACCCAATGGCAAGAGTGGAGGTCTCCTCCTTTTTTGGCACTCTTCCATTAAAATTATCCAGATCATTAAGAGTTCCATTTGTTTCCAAGTTAACTTTTTGGATCCTATTTTGCAAGCATCATGTTGGGGAATCTTCTTATATGCCAGCACTGATCAGTCTATCAGAATTGAATAGAGAGAGTTCCTCCTTCAGGAAAAGCATAACTGGGGTAACTTTTGGTTTGTGGGTGGTGACTGGAACGAGATTACAGGAGCTGAAGATAAGAAAGGTGGCAAACCAAGACCGCATCATCTTTTAGAAGCTTTAATGAATTCATTCATAATCTGGGAGGGTAAGACCTTGGGCTGTTGGGACACCCATTCACATGGGAGAACTGTAGATCTCAGAAGGACTATGTGGAAGAAAGGCTAGATAGGATATTTGCTCCCATGGATTGGGCTGCTTATTATGCCTCAGCTCAAGTGCACAACATTTTCAGATCATCATCAGATCATAGTCTTCTTCTTCTGAAAGCCCAACCAATTCAGAATCACCCCAAAAAGAGATATCTCTTTGACAAAAGATGGCTCTCAAGATCTGGAATTCAAGATGTGGTTGCTACAGCTTGGTCTACTCCCCCTAAGGGTACTCTCATGTTCAACCTTCAGGCTAAAATTAAAAATACTAGAGTAGAACTTCTGAAATGGAGCAAAGACTTCAACTCTGATAGAAAAAAGAAAATCCAGCAACTCCAGAAAGTGTTAGAACAACAAAGAAACCTTGGTGATGGCAGGGATTGGAATTTGTGGGGTGAATGCAAGAAGCAGCTCAGCTTTGAACATTCCCAGGAAGAAAAGTACTGGAGACAAAAATCCAGGATAAGTTGGCTTCAAAATGGAGATAAAAACTTCAAGTATCTCCGTGCCCATACTGCCCAGAGGAGGAAAACCAACAGCATCTCTAATATCCTTAAGGAAGATGGTACTCCTTGTTCCACTCCTGATGAAATCACTGGCTGCATTGAAGAGTTTTACTCCCACCTCTTTACCTCTAAAGGCTCTTCTCGAGGCAACCATATGTTGAATAACATCAATCCAGTCATCACAACACACCTGAACTCTGAGATATTAGCCCTAGTGGATGAGGCTGAAATTAAAGAATCTCTCTTCAGCATTGATGGGAGCAAAGCCCCTGGTCTAGATGGCATGACTTCAACCTTTTTCCATTGCTTTTGGGACACTATTAAAATTGATTTTTGTGCTTCTGTCTCTAGCTTTTTTGAATCTGGTAGAATCCTCAAGAGTTTTAATCACTCTCTTATTACTCTTACTCCAAAAATCCAAAATCTTGTTTTTGTTTCTCAATATAGACCTATTAGTGACCATTTCTAAAATCCTTGCTAATAAACTGAAAAAATGGGTTCCTCTTTGCATTAGTGACAGCCAATCAGCCTTCATTCCAGAAAGGCAAATTCTTGATAATATTATTATTGCCCATGAATCTTTGTATTTTCTCAATAGGCATAGATCTGGAAATTCTTTTTACATGGCTATTAAGTTAGACATGTCTAAAGCTTTTGATAGGGTAGAATGGCCCTGTATTAGCCAAATTCTCTGTAAATTAGGTTTTCACTCTTCTTTTATTAATTTGATTATGGCTTGCTTATCTTCTTCTTGCTTCTCCTTCAATATTAATGGGGCTCCCAAGGGTTTTGTTCAAGCTAGCAGGGGTATTAGACAGGGGGACCCCCTATCCGCCTATATTTTCATCTTGATTTCAGAAACTTTCCAGTTTGATTAAGTCTGAAGTTTCTAATGGGAGATGGAAGGGGCTAAAAATTAATAAAAATGGTCCTAACCTCACCCATATCCTTTTTGCAGATGATACCCTGCTTTTTTCCCAAGCCTCCAATGATCAAGCCCTCCTGTTACTTGAAATCCTTAACCAATACCACCTCTTCACTGGTCAGCTTGTCAATCTCTCCAAATCCTCAATCTTCTTCAGTAAAAACACCCCTCCCATCATTCAAGTGCAGATATGTAACACCCTGAATGGCATCTCTGTTCACTCAGCTTCTAAATATCTGGGGTTTCCAATGGGGTTGGGCAAATCTAAAATTGATACATTTGCTTATGTGGAGCAGTCAGTGAAAAATAGAATTTTGAACTGGAAAACCAAGTTTTTATCCTCTGCAGGTAAAGAAGTCCTTATCAATTCTGTGTTGAATGCCCTGCCAATTTACTCAATGTCATGCTTTCTGCTTCCAAAGGCCACCAAAACTAGCATTGACAGAGCAGTGGCTGAATTCTGGTGGAGCAACAGTGAGCAGAAGAAGAACATCCACTGGAAATCTTGGAGTGTCATCACATTACCTAAAGAACAGGGAGGACTGGGTTTAAAGACATCCATATCATGAATAAAGCATTCATCACCAAGCAAATATAGAGGATTCTTTCAAATCCTAACCTTCCTGTCAGCAAAGTTCTTAAGGCTAGATACTTCCCCAATGACAACTTCTTTAATTTTTTTTTTTAAAAAAAAAAGCAGAACAATTCATGGTTGTGGAACAGCTAGATAGAAGTGAGAGACTCCCTTATGAAAGACACTCAGCATGGAGGATTGAGATTTGACATCAAGAATGGCAGGAGCATTAATATTTGGAATCAACCATGAATCCCCTCTTTCCTAAAATCACAAGTGCACAAGGCCAGTGCAACCTAACCTGGGTTAGTGAACTAATTGATGAGACTGGAAGGAGATGGAACACATACACTATCCACTCTATTTTTTCCCCCAGGAAAACTGCAGCTATTTTTAAAATCAAGGATCTTGATCCTAATAGAGTGGACAAGCTTGTGTGGGACAGTGATGGCAAAGGTAAACCCTTCTCTGTCTCTTTTGTTTACTCAAGATTAATGAAAAATAAATGGAATGCTTTGGACCTTGCTGAGAGCAGTAAAGATCAAAAGCCATTAGCAGGGATGAGAAAAAGAAGCGGGTCCCTTAAGATCCAAGGGAAACTGAAGCATTTCCTCTGGAAATGTGTATCAAACACACTTCCAGTGACTGGTAATCTTTGGAGAAGGAAAATGGCCCTGGACCCAACTTGTAAATGTTGTGGGGAGGATGTGGAAACTATAGAGCACCTTCTGCTGAATTGCCCCATCTCTTCTATGGTCTGGAAGTTATCTCCCTTATGCTGGGATGGACAATCTTTAGACACTTCATCTTTCAAAGACTGGTGGACTCAAATCTGTACTCTTAATCACTCCTCAACTTCTAATGACAGGCTTCAACTCACTGTGTACATCCTGTGGGAAATTTGGAAAGCAAGGAACCTCTGGACCTTTCAAAGAATAAAAAAACCTGCCATTTTTATAGTGCAATCTGCTTTGAGCAATTGGAAAGAATATACTGCTTCTCTCACTCTTCTATCTTGCTGAGTTTTATCTGTTCTTGACTTTGATATGATTTGGTGGCAGTACTTTTATTCTCTCCTAGGTTATGGTGACTCTGTGGTGTCAGTTCTTTTGTTCTCTTCTGTGATTGTGGTGGTTCTGAGCTATTTGACGGCGATGGACTTATGATGCTTATGGTGTTTTGCTTACTGTTATTTGAGTTTATGGCTGCTGAAGTGAGTTCAGGGAACTGCAAGGCCTTGAAGTTGCTGTACTCTGGTGCTATTCTTTAGTGTTATGGATCACTTGTTTTTGCTGTCTAGAGGTTAGTTCTCTTGGCTGTCTGGATCTCTGGGCTGCTGAGGTTGGTTCTGGGAGTTACAAGGCTTTGAAGTTGTTGTACTCTGATGTTATTTCTTAGTGTTCTGGATCTTCTGTCTTTGCATCTGTTGGGGTTATCCGTTCCTCTAGTTTGGTAGTTTTGTTTTGGTTTTAGTCCTTGATTGTTCTTTTCTTTCTTTTCAGTTGTTGCTTAGCTTTTCTTGTTTAGTTAGTTGCTACAACTAGGCCATCTAGGGCAGTGGTTGTAGCTTTGTAAGTCTGTCATTTCGGCAGCAAGGATAATAATTCTACTCTTTGGATCCCTTTGCTAGTCAATGCCGAGAGTAGACTATTATGCTTTTTATTGGTAGGTTCTAGTGCGCTTTGGGGTGCCACTCCTTTTCTTTTTGGACGGTTGTATGGGTTTTTTTAACCCGGATTGTATCTCTCTATTTGAGCTATAAAATCTATCGTTTCAAAAAAAAAAAGAAAAGTGAAAAGAGGCGTGTAAGAAAATGACTACAAGTGTATTTTTATGTTTATTGAATTATTATTAATCTGAAATGGCTACAACTATATTTTTATGTTTATTGTATTATTATTAATCTGAAAAGTTAAAAGAGGCATTTTACATACTATTGTTTATGTTTATTTATTGTATTACTAACCTGTAGCTGGGCACATACTTTTTTTTTATTCCTTATTTTGTTATTCATGTGTTTATTTGTATTATTATTTCTGTCATTTTAATAGGTAATTAGCTGCTGTGATTAGTGAAATTTGGTGTTTAGTTTGTTGTTATATTTCTATTATGTTGTGTAATGTTTGAAACATTACATGTAGATAATGTGTTTGATAAAATTACAATGAGAATTAGTTAGTAAAAATTTAAA